CCATGTAGGTAGCACTGCGATGGGTCTAATAGAGAAGGTATTATCCAACAGGAGGAACGTGACTTTTGTTCCAAAAGGGGAGAACGCAGCCTCTTGCCCTGGCGAAAAAGAACCACTGAGTTCTGTAGTTGCTCCCCTTTCTCTCTTCACAAAGGTCCCCATCTATGATATTCCTGCCACCCATTTCAGCACCTTCACCAAGGGGCAGAGTATGGCAGAAATGTGCGTCCATCCCCTGCAGCAGAACTTGTGAGTTCAGCAGGAGTGGCCCAAGGGTGTAAGACACTCAAACAACAGAGGTGAAGGAAGGTCTTTGGGGGTGTGTTGGATACACGAGATAACTGGGCAGGAAGGACAATCCATTAGCAGGCTATGCAAGGAAATGTGAATCTAGCTTCAGAGCCAAAGAGCACTCCTGTTGACTCATTGGCAGCCAAATCCTTGCGTGCATTATTTAGAGATATCCCAGGGGCACATACAAATGAATAACTTTTGCTACCAGAAGCCAGCTACAAAAAAAAAAAAAAAAAAAAAGCTTTTCATGGGAGAACATCCCAAAAGATGTGGCTGGGGGGTGGGTGCTCCATGCAGGAAGGCAGGGTGCTGGGGCTGCAGGATGTGGGACATGAGATGTGGGATGAGGGATGCAGGATGCCCAATCGCTGCAGGCAGGCACAGCTCCCCCCACTCCATCTTCGTCCACTGCCAATGGATCAATTGTGCTCAGAGAGCTCTGGTCTGCCTATGTAGGTCAAGCCAGCAGAGCTGGCTCCATGTTCCATGAGGTTATTAAAATGAACAAGGGTCCCCCCTTCTGCCTCCACCCAACCCCCTGATGCCCAGCCCTTGGCAGAGTGCAGCTTTGGCTCTCTTCCTAGAGGAGCAGAGCACTTCTTCGAGGCTTTGGGCACGTTTGCAGCTCCCAGGCCAGCATTTTGCCCTGTGCATTGCCCTGAGCAATGCTCTCCCTGTTTGTCTTTGCAGGAACAGAGCTCTGTGCTGGGAGGGAAGGGGTGACATGACCCAATTTGTGGCTGTGTGTCGATAGCACTGGCATTGCTCCTACTCAGCTCTGTGAGCAGGATGGGACTGACCCAGCTCCCAGCACAGGGGATTTCTCTGAACTGCAGCATCCCAGGGTGGGCTGAGCAGCCCCAGGAGGAGGGAGATTGAGTGCACCAGGCTGCTCCCCTGTTTGTTGCTGCATGGGAGGGGAGCTGATAAGAGAGTGGTTGTCTAACCTTCAGCCTTGGGAGCCTCTGGTTCTGGCCACCCAGCTTCAATTCCATCCAGAAGCCTTTATCTCTCCAAAGAAAACCCAAATCCTCCAGAGACATGGACTCACAAGCATAGCAGGGGGAGAGAGAAAGCAGAAAATAAACTTTTTCAAATAAAAAGTTATTTAGTTTAGAGCAAACTTTGCACTAGCTGAAGGGTTGACCTTGTGTTCTCTCCTAGGAACAAGCAAGAGTAGAGCGAGGATTGCATTATTTTGCCTGAAATTTGGAGTGGATCAACCTCCTGCTGTTCCTAGCTCCTGAAATGAGTGGCTATAAACAACATGCATTTCCGGAGAATGAATTAAACAGCAAGCCTGAGTACTGACTGTATTTTAAGAGATGTTTATTTGTCCTCACTGCCGCTCTATAAAGAGTTGCACAAGGACTTATTAAATTTTAACCCCACATTGTTCCTGGGTAAACACTGCCCTTCACCAGCGTGCTGAGTGCTCTCAGCCCAAACAAGAAGCAGCTCTCTGCAGCCCGCAGCATCAGCACCGTGTATGGTCCCATGCTGCTCCTGCCTGGGCTTGGATGGCTGCTGGCTGTTCTTTCCAATTGTGTTTTCTTTCTGTGCATGTTGTTGGGGCAGACAGCTTGTTCCTGGTTTCCTACAGACCTCCAAATGTCTTCTGCACCTTTCTGCCAAAACTTGCTTTGTAAGTAGGCAGGGAAGACCTTGGTTTGCAGAAGGGTAGCCAAGCCAATAATATATGTCTGAGCTCCTGTCTTCCTTATTTCACAGCGTGGAAAGGGAAAAGGTGAGACACTGTGACTATGAGCCAAGGAACTTGCTGCACCTCCCCAACAAGGAGCCCTGATGAGGTGGGCATGTGCCATGCTTCAACCCTCAGCTGCCCTTCTGTAGCCATTGAGAGCTTCCTCCTCCACATGGGCACTGTGGCAAACCCAGGGCCATTGGTGACCACAGAGAAAAGGCTTCCCAGATCCCCAGCAGTGAGAACCAGCAGCACTGGAGCACGAACGGCCTGGAGCACTGTACTGCTGGATAAAAATATGGTTTTGCTGTTTGCAAGGGAAAAGCCAAATAATCAGCATGAAAAGCAAACCTTGGTGCCTCAGTGTGAAATCCGGCTCTCCTTGCCTAATTAGGGGTCCTGAGAAGCCCCTACCTTCCTGTTTTTGGGGTGTTTCTCCTGCCTGGAGGGGATGCCACCACAGGACATGAGATGCTGAGCAGGGTTCTCCAAAAAGAAGGATCTGCACACTGCAGAAACATTTCTGAACTCATGTTTGTTCCCTCTCCTGGGTCTGGGCAGAATGTCAAAGCCTGCTCTGAGCTGGAAATATTTTAAGACTAGCACTCACTGGAGACTGAAACAATGGCAATTCTTTAGCTACTGAGGCTTTTATAAAAGGGCTTTTGACAGAGAGGCTGCTTAGGGGTTTTTTTGTTGTTGGTTTTTCTCCCGGAAAGCACTGTGCTAGTGTCTGTGTCCATGTGTCTGTTTGTGCTCACACTTCTGGGCCCCTCGGTGGCAGCCTGGGGGATGCCTGCAGCCCTGCTCCCATGCCGCCAGCTCCAGCGAGGCACGGATCACACGGGATGCCATGCAGCCATGCAGGAAGAAGACATTTTAGAGTAAATGTCAGCTTTTGCGTTTCTGAGTTTGGGGCTTTTTTTAAACATGTGGGTGGGACTTTTAATGCCCACATGAAGCCGAGACGGTTTCAGTCTCTGGGGCTTATCCAGAAGATTCACACAAACACTATGGAAAGTGTCTCTTTACTTAGGAGGATGAAATTTGACACTGAGAAGGTTTTAACCCGGTATTTCAGCAAGGAGCCTCAGTAGTTAGTGTGTCATATCTGATAAAGGCTCATCAGCACTCCTTCGGGCACCGTTCAATTCTTATTTTCATCTGGCTCCCATGCACGCTGTGGATACGCACTTGCACGCAGCCAAACCGTTGCAAAACCTCAGCTCTGATCTTCCCTGGACACGAGGTCAATAGGCAGGGAAAAGGATAGAGGATATACCCTGTGACCACCGCCCTTGTGAACAGCCCAGCTCCAAGCCCTGCCTGCAGAACAACCTGGAAAGCAGTCATCTGTATCGCCAGCCTGCATGGGACAGGGGTGGGATCCCACCAGCAGCACTTCCCCGCCTGCCCCAAGCCCATTTCCCCCAGCCCCACGCCTGCCCTTCCCGCGAGGTGTCCGAAGCCTCCTCCACAATTAGTCTGCTTGCTGTTTGTTCAGGCCATGTGGATTTAGCTCTCCAGCCTCATGTGTAGTGTGTGTACAGGGAAAGATAGATTGCCGCTACTTTCCAGTATAAATCACATTCCTTACAACACTCCAAAGTAGCATTTTCAACCTCAGGGTGCTAATAGGATCCAGCAGGAGAAAGAAATGTCAGCTAAGTAGTAGGCGCTGTTTGGAGAGTGCAATGGAGCTGATCCGCAGCCCTGGGGCAAAAGGAGCAATCCCAGGGCAAAGGTTAAAGAGTTCAGGAGCACTTCAGCCTACTTAATTGCAACAGGCCTCTTACACAGAGCAAGATGGATGACTCAAACCAAGCAAGGGGGGCAGAGCGGGGCCACAGCAGCGCATCTGGAAGCAGCCAGGCGGCAGGGGACACACAGAGGGGACAGCAGCAGCAGGACCCCCAGCCACCAGCCCCGTCCCCTCCTCCTCAGATGGGAACGAGTATCAGTGCCACTGGAAAACAGTTGGGTTTTGCTGCAAGAGCTCAGCACAGCGTTCACCCAGACAGATAACAAACCAATAGTGAGAATGACTCCAGGTGCCAAGGAAGGGTTCTGTGCTCCCCACCAAAATCAGAAGGAATATTTTAAGGAGGAAAGAGGGGAAATTGGTTCTTGTTACTGTTCTTGTTGTTTTTCTCATGATTTTTTTTCCGATTCCACGTTTTTTTTTTAATCTTCAGAATCTAAAAACGTCTTGTTCCAGCCCCAAGGTGATTCTACTGCAAAGGTGCCTCAGACAACAATTTTAGTAGAGTTTAGACTTGTTTTCTGCAAAATGTCATCAGAAGCTGATGTTTTGCAAGGAAAAGATCTTTTGAAATATATTTTTTTTTCTATCTAGAGGAAAAAAAAAAAAAAAGTTTAGAATAAAAATACTCCATCGAGTCCTCAGCAGCGAGCTTTATGTTGTTTCCCTGGTGATAAAAGCACAAGGCTGCATCTTGAGACACTCGCGTTTAATTCCTGCCTCGACCACAAACCCCCGCAGCGACCTTGAAAGAGCCACTTCAGTTCTGCTCCATATGCGAGGAGCTCTCCGTCAGAGCTCCCGTTAGGGCTGTTCCGCTGGGACAGCAGCTGAAAAGCTTTCGTTTCACCAAACACCCCGCTCCCAGCCCCCGCTGTCCGTTTCTCGTCGTTCTTCGCTCCATCCCGCACCCCCCGGCCGCATCCCCGGCCTTGCGTAGATCGCAGCCCCGGGGCAGCGCCGCGCTGGCGGCTGCTGGGCTGCGGGCGCCCCCTGGTGGCAGAGCCGGGCCAGGCCGCGGGGCCTCTGCGGCCTACAGCTGGGGAGGTGGCGTGGGGCTGGAAGAGGCCCGATGAACCTTTTGGTTCCAAGCCCTCCAGCCTGGCCTTGAGCACTTCCAGAGATGGGGACTCCCACAGCTTCCCAGCAGCCTGTCCCAAATGTCAGCTTCTGAGGTCTTGCAGCCGTCTGAGCACTCTCATCCTCTGCTCTGGACCCAACAGCTCCATGTATTAATACAGGACCCCAGAGCTGAACGCAGCCCCAGCCACCCCCCATGGACACCACTGAGGTCTCTCCGGAGCAAAGCATTCAGTGGCTTTTATTGAGAGGGGCAAGCAGGGATGGGTTCATCCCCTCTCCCATCCTCTCCGAGGGCCACGCATCATCACTCCCCAGCCTCGGGGAGCTCAGGAGAGCAGCAGGGCCGCCAGGAGGCTGGGCAGCAGGAGGCAGCCACCAGCAAGGCTGGGGGGAGGCTGAGGAGAGCCATTGCAGAGATCGGTGTCACAGCAGTGGATGCGGACCCCCGGCAGCTCCTGCTGCTGGCAGTGACGGGAGGTGGCACAGCCGCTGGTCAGCAGAATGCCCAGGACCACTGCAAGGCAAGCAGATGGCAGAACATCAGGGATGGAGGCTGTGAGGTTTGGGGTTTGCTTTGGACTGGTTTGATCAGCTCCCCCTGCCATGACAGCCCTGCCGTAAGGCAGACTCACCACTTTCAGTCTTAATGCAGAACCGGTGTTTGAAGCCCTGATGGGAATGTGAGCAGGTGATCACCTCTGGGTTCGAGCACCCCGTGTCCACGTACTTGGTGCCAACAATGATGTTGCAGCCGTAGCACTGGAGCCCAGACACTGAACAAGAGCATATGAAACACAGCTGGATTTTTCCAGAGGAAAACACTTGGGCTCCTTCCTAGCTGCTCTCTAACGAAGCATTTGCCGCGTTCTCTGCCTTGCCAGGTTGCATTAAGCACTGAGTCAGAGACTAAATCTGCCCGTCACTTGTTTACCCGTTGGGCACAAAAACACAAAACCAACTCCCGCTAGAGGTCAGTAAGAAATCAAAGATTAGCAATAAATTTGAGCTGAGATCCAACAGTGGAAACAAGGGAGCTTTGAAGCAGGGTTTGGAAAGAATAAGTGGAACCTCTAAGCCATAGATACCATCAAGCTCAGCTGCTCTCAGAAAGAGCTTTTGCCTGTTTCTACAAAATTCTCTGGTTCAAGCACAGTTTGGTTTCCTCCCTGCTTTTATCACAGAGTCCATCAGGGAGGAAAACTAGCCCAGAATCAGGAAAGAGAGAATAAGAGCAGATGCTTCAGCAGTTTGTCCCCATGGAACATAGGGCAGCTCAGCCCTGTCCTGCAGGGACAACGGCTGTGCCTGAGAATGACTTCTCCTAAATCAGAATAGGAATTGAGCCATTTCTCACATTCCATTAAAAAAAAAAAATTGAAAAGGAGTTTCTTTTCCATCATCCATAGATTTTAAGGCAAACGCAGTACGTGACTCCTGTGTTTGCTAATCGCAGAAATCACACTGCAGGCTTCTTCTTGCCATTGCCTTCCCCCTGCCTCAGAATGATGCCTCACAGCCCTTCCCCAGCCCTTGCTTATTTGCTCCCAAAGCATTTTCAGGTGCTGTGTGAGCCTCCCTGGGCAGGGCAAGAGGTTCACTGGGGAAGGGAAGCTCCCAGCTGCTGGCCCACACTCCTCACCCACCTACCCTCGTTTTATACAAAACACAATGACTTTGTCTCTCTTCCTAAAACCGCCAACATGGCAACATGCAGCTACATCACTCGAGGTGGGAATTCCACCAAATTCACCCTGAGAATAAATCACACGTTAGCAAACAGGGTTTGAGATGGATGCGAAAGACCACAAAGCACTCTGCACCCATCAGTACTTACCCTCTGGGAGGACAAACACCACGGTCAGCAGAGAGAGGATCCCATGGGCACCTCCAGGCATGTGTCCTGAGAGCATGGGGGCACGGGCTGCCTGTCCTTCCAGCTTCCACACGCAGCTGGCTTCCCACCTGCAAGCCCTGTGTTGAATAAAGGCAGATCAGCAGATCTGGCTGCTCCCCGCTCCTCCAGCCCCGTGGCACTGAGTCCTGTTATGTCGATGCTTAATTTCTTCCTTTTCCTCCCGAGAAATTCTCTGATTCTTTCAGTTTGTGCACAGACGTGAGTGCGTCTGTGCTACCCTCGGTTATTTCTGTCCTATTTCCTCTGTCCACGATCGCTTCCCATTAATACTACTGTGCAGCAGCTCTTGGAGAGAAATTCTCCCTAATCAAGATTTAGTTTTAAATCCACTTCAAAATCCTCTAATTCAGTTGGATTAGGCAGAAGGGGTTTGGGGAGATGTGTGTTTTTACTTTTTTTTCCCTCTTTCTCCTCTCTGAGCTGTCTCTTCTTTACAAACAGACCCACTGGCTCCGTGACATATTCTATTTAAAGAGGGGAGGAATATTTTTATTAAAAAGCAGCAGTCAACTCATTTTAAATCCCAAGCTTGGGATTCTCTGACAAAGCGCAGCCACGGGGATGGCTGTGGGGTAAAAGGGAAGACCTGATGGAAGTTGAGGTGGGTTTGGATATATTTTATGCATCTATTTCTTAAAACAATGAGATGCCAAATGGGGCTAAGCCTGGGGGAGTCCAGCTAAGGCTCCTCGAGGTGAGGGTCAAGGCCATGAATGTGGCAATGCACACAGCCCTGTGGGTCAGGATCAGCATCACAGCCACGTGGGACCCCACAGACATCTCCAGCCACAGGATCCATCCCCAGACCACCACTGGCTCCCCCAGCAGCATCCCCACGAGCAAAGCCTGAGCTCTGAGCGGAGCTAATGGGACTTGAAGAGCTAATGCTTACTAATAAGAGAGCGCAATTGAATGCATGGGATTAAAAAATTAAAATGACAAAATAAGCTGCTTATGTGGTGCATCCAGCAACCACCTACCAGCACCTGGAATTTACCCACCCAGGGCAGCCTAGGGCTGATATGAGACCCCAGCCCAGTGGGCATCTCTGCTGCCAGCCAAAGCCCTCAGGCAGACAGACCCATCTCCATCCCAGCATCTTCATTAGCCAGCATACTCATTAATATTTCACTGGGAAGCAGCACAAAGTTGTCCAAGCGTGGACACCTACAGCGCAGGGGTAGCAATTAGCACCTGGGAGAGGTGCCTAAGTGATGCAGCTCGTTTATTCAAATCACTTAAACCACCCACTGTGCCTCGCTTGCTTCAAAACAATGTGATTATAGCACATCTCACCCAGCAGAGCCTGAAAGCCTGGGGGAGAAGGGATAAAATGCAGGAAATGGGATTGATTTAAACGCGTGCATAAATCAGAGCATTCAATAAGGAGGGGAGGCTAACTTTTAATCCCTTAATAAACTCATTGGTGTCTGGCAGGGGAGAGGCAGCCCGGGCTCTGATGAAGTGATGCTGAAGAAATGCAGAAGTGATGCAGAAGCTGGAGACCACGCACACCTTTGGGCACAGCACCTGGCTCTGCAGCCTCAGCCAGCAAAGCCACTGCTCCATAGCAACACCAGGTGGCCCATCACTGCAAGGCACTGAGATGGAGACCCCAAAAAAAAGCAATCGGGGCAGCTCATGGCTGTGCAGCACACGGGGAGATACACGTTCCATTGCAACGGTGGAAAGAGCATCATGGGGCCACTTTTGTGCCTGGTCCCCAGGCATGGTGTTGGTGGCATGACTGCTGGTGATGCTGAGGCTGGGCTGAGCCAGGAGTTTTGTTTGCTTGCTTTGATTCCTCAGAATGCAGGAGGCAAAGACCTTTAAAATTTGGGGGGGAAAAGGAAAAACTAACAAATGAGCACAAACCACTCTGGAAACAGCACGCAGTTCTTTTAACTTGTCATTAGCTTTCCGATGAGATTCAGAGATTTGTCAGCCTGGGTTCACCAGAAATGGGTTAGGAAACTGCCATCCTGCCCCGACTGAGAAAGATTTGATTAGCAAATCCCCCACTACATTCATGTTCTCACTTAAACCTTTGCGATACCCAGAAAGACGGCTCAGCCCTGCACAGATTAGATGGGTTAGCCAGCAAATCCTGCTTTAGAGCTCATCCCCAGCAAAGGCAGAACTTCCCGCTGAGCATCCCCCTTCCTGCGCACAGCCCCATTCTCTGCACCCCAAAAATATCGCCCCTTTTTACCTCCCCAAAATGGATCTCATGCTCGGGTTGCACCAGTCTCCTGTTGTCCGCAATGCAGCCTAGACGGGAATCGAACCCGTGACTACCGGAGCCTCTATGTCGTCGTGCCGCCATTAGAGAGGCGGAGCAGAGGCGCCCCCCTCCGGTCAGAGCGATCCGGCCGTCGAAAAGGCTCCAGCGCCTACGCTCTGATTGGGTGGCGGCGATGAATACATTAACTATGCTGTAAACAGAACGTATTTGTGTCATTTAACGGAATCCACAGGATTAAAAACACTTGTAAGAGCTTAATTCTTTTGGGGAATACATAAAGGTTTTTGCAGAGCGAAGAAAGAGGCGGGAAGGGCTGCTCACCCTGTCCTGAAGAGAAAACGCTATTTGAAGGTATAAATAGAGCCATAAAGAATCATAGCGACGTGTTGTATGAAAGGAGAGAAGGTTAGCACTCCCCTTGATAAGGATGGAAGAGGCCCTAGTGGCCTATACAACACGCATACGGTTAAGGCACTGCCACCTACTTCGTGGCATCTAACCATGTTTTTTCCCTATATTTTCCCCCCACCTCCCTGGAAGCCTTAAACGAAACCGCGTTTCCCCCTTCCTTAACACAGCGACTTTCCTCTGCCCCGCACCGCCAGCTGGTAACAGAAGTACAACACAAAGCACCACTGAATCAACAGGGGGAAACGCACACAGGTGGAACACAGCAGCTTCTCTGCACTTACAAAGCACAGCCACGTCCTGCACCTAAGGAGCTTCTCCAGTTGGGGGGGAACTGAACTGCTTCATGAAGTCAATCTAAGAGAAGTGATCACTTCCATGCCACGGTGGATCCACGCAGGAGAGGTCTGTGCTGTTATTTTTAGTTATTATCAAGCAGGAGGTTGACAGCAAAACAAGCAATTACCCACCTTTTGGCAGAGCCCTTTAGAGGAGGCTAAGCTGGTTCATTGACAATCAGCAACCAGCAAAAGCTAAATCCTGCATCATCATTCAGCCTGCCTTGCATGTGCTGCACAGAGGGCAGGATTTCCTCACAGCTCAAGGTCTCTGTGAGGGCTTGTATGAATGCTGCCTCTGCAGAAGATGCCTTCAGCTCCTTACTTTGCTCAAATGTTCCTTTCTTCATAGCAGATGTAAGCACAGCTGGTTCCCCTCCTCTCCCCTCTTCAGTCAGTAGAGTTCCTACAGAAATACTTCCTTTTCAACCTGATTTTAAGGAAGGCTGCTAAGGAAACACAGCAGCCCTGCCTGCAGAAGTGGGGTTGGAGCTTCACCATCCTTGAAGTCCATTCCAACCCAAGCCATTCTATGATTCTATGATGACACAAACACTGCACACTACTACAGTTACCAACAAGCATACACAGAAAATCCCACCTTTTTATTATGGCATATGGCATTTGTTTGGATGTGTAAACACTACGTGGCTATGACAAAAGAGGAAAGAAATACCAATGCTGAAATAGATACAGAGTCATGCCATTATCAGTACAGTTTCATACGATGGATTTTCAAAATACAAAAGTCTGGGGTTGGTTTTTTTTTTTTCTTTTTACATTGAAATAACTTTACAGTGTTGTGTGAGCTTCCTTTTATCCAGAAGAAAAAAATAAAATATGCTGAGAACAACTACAAGCAGAATTCATTTTAATGGTTAACAGAAGAAATGTAACTTTGCTCTAGAACAGCATCTATTAAACACACGTAACAAGAGGTAAGCAACTATACAGAAGGTAAGGGGAGATTTCACCACAGGAGTCAAGTCAGGGGCAGGAAGGGGGAAAATCTGGAACTGCATGGTTTTATTTGGTCACAAAGTTTGAGCTGAGTGTTTAAAATGAAGCACCCTTAAAGATGCAGTACTCCTATTTAAAACAATACAGAAACTTCCAAGAGACTAAAACCTACATTCTGAAAAAATAAAAAATTAGACATTAAAAAAAAAAATCCACGCATCTCTAGGCTTAACTTACTGTCACAAAGCAGGCTGGCAGCTCTTCCTTAAGCAGCAGCAGTGCCCAGAAGTAATGCCACCATAAAGTACAGTATCTTTGGGTGTCCGACACCAGGCTGACACTTGTAACACGATGTCAGAACGATCCATTTGTCTGCCAAAAGATTAGGCAAGGAAAGGAGACACTGCATCTTTTTTGTTTGTTTTTTTTTTCTCCCCACCATGCTGCCCGGTTCTAGCAAAGAGCTAAGACGTTTTCTTTGGGCCAAGACTAACAGAAACCACTTTATCAAATATTCTTCAGGTTTCCTGCCAAACTGGATTTATTATTCTCATGTGGTTTTTGAATTTTTTTTTTTAAAAACATTTTTTTCCTGACAGTCTCTCAAGTGATACTGGAACGTTTAACAGTCACTCTTCCACAGTTTAATTGTTTTGTCGTTTTCTAGCGCTGCTGATGCAATGATGTTTTCTGTTGGGTGGCAAGCTGTTGAGATTACAACATCTAAGCAAGAAAAAGACACACATTATTTACAGCAATGAGATCAGGTTCATAGCACACATTTCTGAAAACGAATCTGTACTGCTGCTACATGTTAAAACAGCATAGCCAAGTTGCTATTCCCTTGGTGCAGAATTAAAGACACATTATTCAACATTCACTCTGTTTATGGGATGGGAAGTTATGTGCTAGCAAAAAAGTATCCCTTACGTGGGCTCCCCAGCTTGAGAGCAGTAGCTGGAATGTGTTTTACTCAATCTTTAGATAGCACAGTCTTCAGCAACTTGCTCTAAGTCTAAAAAACAAAAGCTTGTTGCCACTGTCTCAGTTTGCAATCAAAACCAATGGTCCCGCTAAGGAATAACATGACTAAATTTTGCATCACAATTCCTTCTAGTTCATGCAGATGGAATGCTCCTATGGGACTGAGACCGAAGTCCCAAGCGGATGACATTTGAATAGATGCTCAAGTCTACCCTCAAGAAACAGCCAACACAAACAGACAACAGAACCATGTCAGCTCTTACCCTTCCAAGAGCTGCAGCTTTAGAAGGTGTCTGTAAGCAACTCCAAGTCATTCATATTCTGAGTCACTTAAATATCTTAACCAATTCTGAACTCAAGTCTCTTTTGCACACTGATTTCAAAGCTGTTACATTGAAAAAACTAACATTTGCAATAACATAAAAGACTTATGAAAAGAAGTGAACATTTAGGGTTCAATCAAGCCTCAGCCAAGACCTCAGATTTAATAGGTCTGACAGTGGAAACAAGGAAACGCCAATGCTAAGCCCTCATTACAAGCTGACATGAAGGATATTCTATCAATAAAGACAGAATGCTTTCCTACCTGTGTGCCCTTGTAATTTCTGTACAATCTCTTTTGTCTGAAGGTTCCAAATGTAAACCAGGTTGTCTTCTGAACCGGATACAATCCACTGGAGGAACAGAAGAAAGACATTTTAATCTCTCTGCATCAATACCCAACTGCTACTACTCGCCAAACACTTCACTGGCACTACATTAGAAGGAAGGTCCAACACCACACGACTGTTGGATGCAGTTCACTGTCTCTCAGAGCATTCAGAGCATACAGGCAGCAGAAAATTTTGTTCAATCTTTTCTAAAAGAGAAAAACTAAAGGAGTGAAAGATGCTGAGGTGGTTCTACACGAGAGTTCAACCTCTGTTAGCATGTCCCACCACCTCAACCAGAGCACACCACCCTACCCTCAGATAGCAGACTGACGTTTGCACGTCCCATGGAGAAAAGCAGTAAGAACTGCACATCAGTAAAAGGCAGCCCATATTGAACACTAACCTTTCCACCAGTAACGGAGAAATTGGCAAATATGCAGTACTTCTCATTTTTGTGTCCTGTGTACGTCTTCAGGCACTGAAAGAGAAGAGCCAAAAGGCACAGGCACAGTTAAGAAGTAGCTGTCTCACAGCCACGGACAAACTCTCTTGTCACAGCACATTAAATATATCTGCCCAGGCTTCCCACCCTGCCAGCTTATCTAGAGGATGCAGAGGGCATCTCTGCCCTACTACTACATAACTTTGAGGAAAGAAGGAAAATAAGAAAGCCCTCAATTTGTCACTTCCCCCTGAGAAAAACAGCAAGAGAAATTTAATGCTGACAGAAACACAGGAATACAGCTGCATTCAGTGTTTTGGGGCTATGCAGGAGCATGAGCCCTTTTTCCCTCCCCTCCCTCCCCCCCCCAAGGTATCTTTGAAAAAAAACAATAAAGGGTTACAAATGTTTTTTTGCTGTAATACTCTCTTAATGTAAAGCAAAGTTAATAAGCACATATAAAGCCCAGATTCTCCTATAAATTTAAGTCTACACAGCAAGACAAGTTTTTTTTTGTTGTTGTTTTTTACCTTTCCTTTGCTGTAGTCCCAAAGCTTAAGAGTGCTAGAAAACAACAGAAAACCAAAGATTTAGTTCTTGTGTTTTTTCACCAGTTTCCTAATAGCAGACAGTTTCTCCATACCTAGGTTCTTAAAGTCTACAAGGGGAACTTTAGCCTGGCTTTGGAATGCAGCTTTAGTTAAACCCCAAAGTATTGGTTTTACCAACATACCATTCATATTCTCCCCCATAAAAAGGCTGCATTCTTTCACAGGGTAAGAAACCTATTTGGAAATAGGGATGGCCCTACAAACTGTCACCCTCCCCAGTACAATCACTGCCTCCAGCTTTTCAACTTTCAAGTCTTGCACTGGGATGTTTCAGGCAAGAAAACAAAGGATTGAAGCCTTCTCAAGGCAGCTCAAACATAAGCTAGATCAAGTAAGAGAATAAGCAAGCTACTGAATTTGATCTGGATATAACATGGCAGTATGTATGCATCTGTGCAGGGTTATTATCATGACAGGTAATGAGTAGCAACCTAAAGTTTTATCTGATATTCATTAACACTTCAAAGTCAGTGGATTTTTATTTTTTTAATACCCACTTGTCCAAAGTTGCAGCTAGAATGTATTTGCCATTTGGGGAGAACTTCACAAAAGACACAGGAGGGTTATCATCATCTGAAATGAAAATAAAGTGATTATTAAATAATAACTATTAAAGTGGTTGTTAAGCAGTATTATTGCCTCAATGGCAGAGAATTTCTTTTGACAGTAATCTGCTGTTAAAAGCTTTGAGTTTTGTTATCCTTTGGTAATTCAAGCAATACAGGTGTAAGAAGGTGACTCTTCTCAGTATTTCAATAAAAGGATATTAAACATCTTGCTAACAAGCATTTTAAATCACCCTTTGTAACTGAACTTTCATTCCTTCCATCAGCACTTGTCAGAACAAGAATGCATCTGTAATAAAATGGTTTTTAAAATGTACAGTGTATATATATGTGTATATATATATATATCTCACTGATCTGCAGTGCCATGTCAACTTGTCTATATAATGCTTTATAAGAATATGAAAGACTGGGAACATATGCCTTATAGGTGGTTTCCTTTTATTAGCTTTGCTCACAAGATGCCTTATGCTAACAGTCATCTGCAATAAAAGCAGGCAGCTTGTTCAGTCAGACTGTTTCCATCACATCCAACAGCACAACTTTGTAGTTACAGTTCTGAGCTGCTGCACAGCAATCATTACATAGCTGAACAGCAGAAAACCTGGGAAGTCTTTCATCCAGCACCTGGACTACAGAACACTCCAAGTTCCCGTACACATGGGAGGATAGTTCCTATTAACTCACAGCTACAAAGACAACAGTGCCCTAATGGAACAGTATGAAGAAAGAAAAATAGAGGTTAAGGAAGTCACTGCTCACCGCAGTGATGCAGCATACCTGTTATCACAGCAGAACAGCAAAGAATGAAGCACAAACAAGCAGCCTTCCTACTTACCAATGAGCGTTTTCAAGCACTGTCCTGATGCTGTATCCCAGATTCGACTATAAAAAACACATGGGACTCATGACTACCACTATAAGCTTCATTATTAATATCATTAATCTTTTTTTCAAAGTGCAATAGATTTGAACACTGCAGCAGACAAGAAAGAACCACTTACCAGAGTCCATCATAGCTACTTGACACTATCAGTGAACCATCACGATTAAAATGCACCTGTAATGTTATAAAAGAGGGGGGAAATAACTTTAGTTTCTTCATAAGCATCACATTTTTAAGCCCCGCTAAAAGTATCCACCTCCCAAAGCTGACACTGCGATTCACATGGATAACAGCAAAAAGTCAATGATATCCAAACAATAGATATGATTTTAGATGGACAATAGGATCAGACCAAAATTCTTCCCCCTTACACTGAGTTCACCTGGCATAAATGGAAATGGCTGTTAGCTACAGCTGTATATTCAAGCAGCAGGAACTGAAATGCTTCAGAAGCTAAGAGCAGCACCTTAACATGAACACACAGACACTCTGTTCAGACACCATTAGCTGCCCAGTTTATAGTAGTGCCTAACCTGGGGATACCACCTTAAGATTTTAACATGGAACTTCACCCCATGTATAGCCTCACATGTTCTGAGGTTAACTTACTGCCTTCAACTACACCTGAAAATGCTGCAATTTAAAGTAATAATTACTACTAATGTACATTTTTAAGTGTGAAATGTCTTCTAGGTCAAGTAGAACAACCAGACCAATCACATTAAAGCAGGTATAGTTTTAACACAACTGAGGCTCAATATTCTTTTTGTGTTACCTTCATTTCAAGAATATTAAGAGTTGAACACCTTCTTTTCCTTCATTTGAAGGGATATGATTCCAATCCAAGCCATTTTCACAAAATGAATTAACAAGATTGGAGTGTACTCTGAAACCACCCTGCTCCAGACCTCAGCAATTGCTTGGAACAAGAAAGCAACATATGTACAGCAATTCCAGTTTGCTCTCCATTCCTCAAGTGATCACCAGTCCATACCCCAGCATCAGACTGCCAGACTCAGACATGACCAGCACATCACTATTCACTGCTCCCCACACTGAGGCTCAAGACACAAAACCACATAAGCCTTACAGATTAATTTTGTTCTCACCCAGCAATGCCCATCCACAAACCACAGCCCATTCACTACATTTTATAAGGGTATCATAATAAGAGCATAAGTATGTTAGTGTGTTCATTTATCAGAAAAGACTTACAGCTGAAACTGGGTCAGAATGAGCAGGCAACGTCTTGAGGCACTTCCCTGTTTTCACATCCCATATCCTCACGCTTTCGTCGAACTGAAGATTGAAGAAACACAGAACACTGTTTAATGATACAGTTATTTGTGACCTGCAAGACATTACAGCTTGATGCAAGTCTAGACACACACACACCTTCCTCAAGTTGCACTGCAGCTGCATCAGAAAGGCTAAGACAAACACTACACAGAGTAGCAATAACAGACTGCAAATACAGTTCTCTCTTCCTCTACATGCAAAGAAAACTGCATGTTAAGGATGGGTTAAAGGCTTGACTGCTTCCCCAAGACAGCAATAACACTGCACAGTTCACCTAATTACAAGCTGTGTTTGTGGAGGAAGACATAATCGAAATAAGGGATGTGCAGCAACTGCTGTGCACAAAGGAACAGAAATCACTTACTGAGCCAGAGACGATGAGGTTTGATTGAGGGTTGAAGTTGCAGCAGAAAACGTAGTTACTGTGCCCTTTCAATGTCTTTAAGCACTTACCCTGAAATAAGATTTAGCAGATATAAATACTCAGTATTCTCTACAGCCAAACATGCAATCAGATAAGCTGTGTGGTGCAGAACAAAAAGAAACCATCTCTAATCATAGACTGAAGAAAAACAAAGGAAAGACTTTTTCAGGAATCACAGACAAATTTTCAAATCCTTTGGGCAATTAAGAAAAACCAAACAGTTTAACACATCTTGTCAAATTTAAACCAATTTACCCATTTTTTTTTCACTGTAACTACAGAAAAAGAAGGGAGGAAAAGAAAAAAAAAAACAAAGATAAATGAGCCTGTGAAGAGAAGTTACAAATACTCTTAAGTTCCACCTGAGAGGCTGCTTTCAGAAATGAAACTTGAGCTTGCATTGTCAACGTAAGACTGAAACACTCCCAGAAGATAACTAGAGTCCTCAGGGTACCCATAAGCATCGCCCTCATTCCAAAAGCATGCAGCATAAGTCACTGCCCATTCAGCCAGCTGCTTGTTTTAAGGAGCAAAGTGGGAGCTACCACCTAAAGAGGAGCAGTGTTTATAACCGCCTTCTCCCATCACAGCATATCAAGCTCATCTCTCAGAAGAACTTGATTTAAGGTAGCAATTCTAGGGAAAGGGAAGGCAAATAACAGTTTCTGTTCTTACCGAGCTTACATCCCATATTTTTAGAGTTTTATCATCGGAGGCAGAGACAAGAAGGTTGGAATCTGATGACCAAGCAACGTCAGAGATACCCTAAAACAAAAGAAAACAATCCTCTTAGCTCTGTTTGCTTACTGACATGGGAAAATGGGAAATAGACTCCATATTCACAGCTGAAGTGTGAAAAATTCAGCACTGGCAGATGCAAATTCATTAATCTGACTGGGTTACAGCTCCTTTGACAGTTCTTCATTTTAAGCTGGGCCATGCACTCCATAAACATCAATGACTTCTTCACATAGCTCTTACTGTGGCCACCAACACCCTTTCATGGAATTCACATACAGTATATTATATAAACTAATTTGAATAAGTGGTTTCTCATCACGGCAAATAGCTGAACTCCTTCTGGTCTGAGCTCCTGAGGGCTGGAGGAGAACAGGACTCTACTGGTTTTTCATCTGGTGAATCTTCATCTTTGCTTCTGAAACTTCAGCATGTAATAAATTTTGGGAAACAAAACGGAAGAGTTTGGGAACTTGTGTTTTCTCTGCAGCTTTGGTGAATGAGTAAGTATTGTGTTTATGTAGACAAAGCCACAAGGAAAATTCAATCTCCTTACAAGGCAAGCCATTCTGCTCCAGTCAAGGAAAGAAGGAAGAGGACAAGGCATTCACAAGGATTTTCACCAATAATATACTGCCCCTTGTAGGAGGCTGGTGTTGCTGAAATGGAGGGACTCAACAGAAAGGCCATGCAGTGTGCATGCAGGTACTTCATTATCAGCCTGCACTTCACCCACATTTCCAGCTTAACCTGGTGGCACCTCAGCAATTCCACCCCAGGCTATTGCACAGGACTGTATAAACAAAGAGATACAAATACAGACTGATGAACAAGCCTTCTGCACCAAAGGAACCACGAATGGAAATGTCTAGATGAGGAAAAAGAAGGGAAAATGAATTCATTACAAGAAAATTCATTTCCAAGCACACAGCAATCTCTTCACACTTACCAGTTTATGGCCAGATATCGTTTTTTCAAACTTGCCATCATATGCTCCCCAAATCTTAATAAGTTTGTCAGCAGCTGGAAAAGAACGTGCCAGTTAAGAGATGTGCATCACTGACAGGCACATCAGGAGGAAAGGGATATGTTAACCATGCCTCTGCCAAAGGTAGATAGTCCTCCCTCTCCATGCAGACACACAAGTGTGTAAGGCAGTATGTAACTGGTAAAGAACAGTTTCATACACAGCACACTCAGTGCAGCAACTGAGATTACATAAGCTGCCTGGAATGCACAGTCTCCAGACGCTTTAGTTTCTCTGATGACAACTTGAGTTTCTACTTTTGTTTAAGACTGCCAGTGGCAGAAGTAGTACTGTTCCATGTGGAATGCTGAAATGCTTTTGCCCAGAAAGAACAAAAATTACATCACTACCTGGAATGAATTAATGCCTGCAAAAATCCAAGCATACTGTCCATTTTAACTTGCAAAATGGGCCAGATAAAAGAGGCTGACATTTGCCAGAGGTTGGAAAACTTTGGGACATGGGAAAGGGTCTTTCATAAGGATAATAGAACATAAAAGTGATTTATACATGGTACACTGGCCTTACAAAGGCAAAATGAAGTTAAGCCAAAGACAAAAGTCATTCCCACGTCTGGAAGATGTTTGACTGGTCCCCACCATCACATTCAACACTGTTCTTTTTTAATTGCCCTTTCTTCATATATGGTTCCTCACTAAGGAAAATGACATAAGGACATTTTCTAAGGAAAGCTATCAGGCAGTTTTCTTGGTGGTAAACATTGCAAGAAATACCAAAACTGTCAGGGGAGAACTCAATCTACTAACTGAGAGAGAGAACAGCAAAACACTATGATCTGCACATTTCATTGGGATAATCTAAGGCTGTGACTTGCTAAGGACCACAGGCACAGAAGCACATGGGCAGTCCTTCGCACCACACTCTACAATCCAGCCTAGAAGTGCCAAGTTAACTCCCACATTTCCCAGAGCTGAGTTTTGCCTACAGGTACTGCAAACAAAGTTTAATTTAAAAGCTTAAGCTACACCTTTGGTTCTACAGAAGAGCACAAGGATGGGGCAAGAACCCCATTTGCTTTTGTCCCCTAGCTCAGTAAGAAGATTGAACAGGAGAGGACTCTGATTTAGCAACACACTGAAAGTGACAGAACTTAAAATCCTGGATTATCCCAAAGTCTGTCAGTTGTGGCATTGCTCTTTTTAAGAGGAATAAGGACACTTATCCCTTCTCCATCCAGTGAGGGTATCAGTTAAGACAAGTGGTTCAACAAAGCCCACATTTGCAGATTTTTGAAGAAGAGTAAGAAAGCAATACTTACAGGAGCTGGCTAGCCACTCTCCATTAGGGCTAAACTTTACAGATGAGACTGCCTTTGTATGTCCTGCTAATGTGAACTTTAGAGCATAGTTTGGTTTTACTGGTGCAGGCTGGAAGAAAAATACATATGAATCAGTTGAATAAATTCCCAATTTAGTTTCTCAGTGAGAAGCTCAGTATCAGACTAGGTCAGAATGCATCAATGGAATGCATAAACATTCATCTTAATGAATTCTACTGCTTACATTCTTTTCCCTCTCCAAATTCAAAAAGCCCTCACTGGAGCCAGCAGCACCTTACAGCCACATGCAACCAACCTCATCCCTCATATGAATTGCGTTCAAGCCAGCAACTAACAGATGACAGTAACACAACAGTCCAAGCACAGAGTGCTTGGCAGATTAAAATAAAACTTTTGGTACTGATCTGTGTAGTACTATTAAATGCCTGTAGTTATTTTCCTTGTTCAGAAGCAAACCACAAGCCAACTCCCCGCCGTCCCCTTAAAACTCTATTTTCTTAGCCTTTCATCATTTCTGAAAGCTTCATGGTTAGACAGAAACATCCCATCTGCGCATCTGAATCTGAATAATGACTGCATTCCCATTTTGCAGCTAGACCACAAATCCATCCATTCTCAGTCACCTACTGGCCTTCCAAGAACACAAACCAAGTTTCTACAACTCGAACTGATGAACAGTATTTCCTTAATAAGAACTTAAAAAGCAAACCAAAAAAACCAACCTAGTACTATAAAAGAGGCTGTACTCCACCTGCTTTTCCCCTAGAATCTTTAGGACGTTTCCCTCTCCAGACAACAGCAGAGACAGACATATTAAGAAGTTCTTAATCTATACTTGATTCAGTTCTCTAATTGCTGTTTGCCTGGTGCACGTGCAGGTAAGTGCATTTACGCAGATATTGTTCAGAGCCCCACACACACCTTGCTCTGATTGGTTGAGGAGGAAGGAGTAGATTGTGTTTTGGTAGATTCTGCATCTGGTTTCTTTTCTTCCGTTGCCATGGTTCTGAAGCTGGCAAATGAGACTTATGGTGCTTGAAGGGGAGAATGAACGTGCTGCTTCACAAGGCAGCCCTTACCACAGGGAGCAGAAGTGCACTGGAAACAAAACCCTGAAAGAAAAGCAAAACATCCACATTAGCTGTCAAAGAAAGATCAGCAGCAGCTAAAGGAACGAGATCAGCTTAACTGCAGATCTGCAGAAAACATAATGAAGAAGCATATTCTACATCTGTTCAGCAACGTGCTATTTTGTGCCTTCAGGTCTGTTAGTGTGCAAGATCAAGAACCCGAATACAGGACTTTTATCAGATCCAGGACAGCATTTTTCACTGCATTCCATGCCAACCACTAGAAATAAAGCAGAGCAGCTTTTAGGTGCAGTGAAAGGGCTCATCTCATATTCCTCAAAACACCTGAGAAACACTTGTACAACACAACAAATACAACACTTTGTATATAAGGCATTTCCAAAGCTTAAAACCCCACCAGGTGTTTTTTTTCCATCTCCTAATTCAACTATTTCAGTCTCATATCTTGCCCCCTAAATGCTCTGAGCACCACATCCCTGCCTGAGAGTTCCCCCTGCCTAACAGCAGCCCTGCATTAACCTCACCAGATCTGCTTTCTGTAGCAAAACCCGAGCAGTGCTGTGCTGTACCCTGCAATCAGGGCTGATGCTGCAGAGGGAACAGCCACACTGCAGTTCAGTTCCATTTCAGCAGCATAACAGAATAACCTCCAGTTCACGCTGTAAGATTTGCCCTCGCTGCCCATTTGTGATATCCCATCTCAAGCACTGTTCATTTTGCCTGTGCCAGCAAATCTGGGAGGAATAGCATTCACTTTTCAAGCCACCGCTGACATTTTGAGCATCTTGTCCTCAGGAGGGCACAGAGTTAAGTACCACCAGTTCCCTGTTTGCTTTACAAGCACGCTGCACAGTGCAGACTCATTACTTACTGTTGGTAACAGCGACTTCACTTCTATAATGCAGATCAGATTCTTTTCAGCCTGAACTCATTTGGGAACTGGAACAAACACACAGCTTGCTCCCTGCACCCAGTTCTGCTCCAGGGAGAGCAGCACCTCTTCATACAAACCTGAGCAGCAGCACCCTGCTGCACAGCACGAGGACACACAGGCAGTGGGACCAGCACAGCCCCAGTTTCAGCATGGTGAGGCACTGGAACAGGTTGCCCAAGGAGGTTGTGGATGCCCCATCCCTGCAGGCATCCAAGGCCAGGCTGGATGTGGTTCTGGGCAGCCCGATCTGCTGGCTGGTGACCCTGCACACAGCAGGGGGTTGGAACTGGATGATCATTGTGGTCCTTTTAACCCAGGCCATTCTATGATTCTACGAAATACCCCTCTCTCACCACACCCAAAGGAATACTCTCAGCGAGAAGCCCGTGCTAAGGAAAACTTCCCGAGGGCTGGAAAAGCAGCCTGCAAGAACACACAGCCACGTGTGTGCACGCACACAGGCACACGCACATCCAGGCGTGCACAGAGCCGTGCGCGGCCACACGAGAACTGCCGTGCACACAACCGCAGGGCTGCACGCGTTCCGGCCCGGGGTCCCCGCGCGGGGCGTGAAGCAAAGCAGGGCAGCGCAAAGCAAAGCAGGGCAGCGCGGTGCAGAGCCGGCGCGCGCCCCCCTCCCGCCTCAGCGCGGGACTGAGGGCGGTGGGGGAGGGAGGAGAGGCGGCGCCCCACGCGAGGCCGGCGCTGAAGGAACCCAGCCGGCCGAGATCGGCGGTGACTTACCGGGGGAAGGGGAAAGGGCGGGAACCCGGCACCGCCGCCTCCTCCACCGCGGCGAGGCGGGGTGCGCTGCCGCGGGAGGGGCGGAGGGGGGGGGGGACGCGGCGGCAGCAGCTCCGGGGCCGCCAGGCGGGGAATGTGGCACGGCGCATGCGCGCTATAGGCCAAAGGCTGCACAATGCCGCTCTCTCCCGGGAACGCTACGGCGCGGCCCGAGGGCCAAAAAGCATCGGCCGCGCTCCTTAAAGGGCCAGGCGCCGCCCTCCTCAGCCTGCTTCCCGTCTGAGGAAGGGAGGGCGGCTCGGGTTGCGCGCTAGGGGTGGTTAGCACTGAGGGGCTGCAGCTGAGCCTGGGCTGCCTGCCTGTCTCCCTTCCTCCCTCCGGTAGGTGGGTGCCCACGGTCTGGTTGCCCTGGGGAAGGAGGGAATGGAGGCACTGAAAGTTCACCCTTAGCCCACGTTGTTGTGAGGAGACTGAGGTGATCTGTAAGCTAAATAGTGCTGATGAGTGGGACATGTAACGCTGTAATAGCAGGTGAGGGTAGGTGTCCTGCCCTGCCTAGGAAAGCATTCATTGCCCTGCCTAGGAAAGCATTCAGCTTACATGCAGACATTCTCCTCAAAGCTCAATGTGTGTTTCAGTGCTTTTCTGGAAAACAGTGTTTTTTTTCTGAACCGCAACCCAACTGCCTTCAGTTAGAGGGAAGAAAACCAAGAGACACGTGTCGTGTGCTGGCCCTGTAACACAGGAAGACCTGCGGGCTCCAAAATTTCTGGTGGCTGCTGAGAAAGGAAAAAGCTGAAAAAAGCTGTGGTGTGGTGAAGCCAAAGCCCTTCTCCAGCCTGGAAACCCACAGTCTGCAGCATTAACCCTGCCCTGCAAGCACAGGGAAAATGCAGGCATGGAACTGTAAGAGATGCTCCATCCACACCACGCTGTTAGGGAATAAATCCAGTTGACTTGGTGTATAGTCTTTGTTCTTAAAGAATAAATAGCACAAATCAGCAGGGTAGTGCTATGTATTTATGCAGCTTTCTTGTGATACAGGTAGTGTGGTTTTGTTGCTTTCACATAGGAGACGAGCCTGTATTTCTCTATCAGCCTCCTCTTGCTGTGGAAGCTTTTTTGCCTGATATTTTGTATAAATATTAATCCATATCTATACTGAATAATACCTTTCTGGAACTGGAAGTTATAGTTTCAAATACAAACGGTAATTGTAATCCTAAAACAACCCCTTAGCCTCTGAGTGTCCTGGATTTATCTTTAACAAACGTAAAGTTTTGTAAGTCCCATTTGGCAAAGTATTTAATCGTGTGCTAAACTGGGTTTTGTGACAAAAAAAAAAAAGGCAGCTCAGCGTGCAAAGACATTTCATTGGGACTACATAACGTGAGCACCAGGGAATCTGCACGGACAGCCCGTTGTCTTTGGATGAAATTTAACTTGTGGGTTATGAGTCATCTGTGAAGGTCCTTCTTGCTCCGCAGGCCATGCTGCCACAGCTGGGATCAGCAGGATGTGATCTCTGTCCAAATTCCCTCTCTGTGAAAGACTGGGCCTTGGCAGGCCTCTATTTCGCAAAGTCTTTCATTCCATTTGGTTCCAAATAGCCTGAACTTGGTGATCTGCCAAGTACACTGGAAAAGACACCTGTCTGTGAGGCTGCTGGGGGGGGAGAAAAGCTTCCCGTAACGTTGAAAAGGAAAGAAAAGTCCATGAGTGTCTCAGATGATAGAGAAGTGACTGCTTTCAGTGCTGATGTGAGCCCTCTGGGTGTCTTTAAGAATGTCAGGAACAGATCCAAGGCCATGCATCTTGCTATGACTAATGTATACAATTCTGTCACAGGTTCTACTGAGACAAGAACTGATCCAATCCTGCAAATCTGATCCAACGGACATCAGTGTTTGCAGAAAAGCTCCTACTAACTTCACACGTTGGATCTGCTCTTCAGACTACTGCAAACAAGCACATGCTTACTTCTGCAATGGTGAGTAATAAGACAGTAAGCTTACAAGCTATATAAGCCCAAGTTTATGTTTTGGCACAATTTGCAACTTCTGTTAGGACTTTTTATTTACTTGAGCCACTCAGCAAACGGAGCACAGAACGGGCAGACTGCGTGTTACACACTGTTCAAGAAACAGAGGGACCAAGAACTTGTGAGAGATCTGCTGCTGCTTTTAGATTTTTAAAGAGCAGCTGATCCCTGACATATAGCTGTTCCCGTGCTGTTGCTAATATGCTGAAATCAAAAAATACAATCACATTCATATGTTTCTTCTGGGATTTAAACCCAAACACTGAACCTTTTCCAAGCTGATATTTCTAGCTCCCCCACTACAGTACAAACCTTACTTGCATCACTGCCAACATTTGTTCATTTAAAACTAGGGATACTCACCCCAGCAGAAGGCAGCTAGGATTCAATTCATTCTGCCCTGGGCAGGATGTGCACCTACACTTAGCCTGGTCACAAAGGCCCAATGAATGTTGAAGAACTTATTTTAAAGTAAGATTATCGAACACTGCATTTATAGAGCTCCATGTTAAGACTGACCCGTGGAGAAGCAGTCTGTGTTCTTGTGGGAGAAGCTAGGACTTTGTGCAAGATTAGAGTCCAGCAGTTTGCTATAGCATAACATCCAATGCAGATTTAACCACAGTTACAGCCAAGGTAATACATGAAGGCTGCAGACTTGAGGGCCTCAAACTGAATCACACATGGTCTGACTGCCAGACATGATGACAGCCTGCCTCTCCCAGCTTCTTCAACTGGAGCAGCAGGTTCTCAGCATTTCTATGAATCAGGGACTTTGTTCTTGGCTGGTGCAACTACAATACTGGATATTTTGATGCAATTAGCTCATGTCCCTATTTTAGTATATCTCCAGTTTTAGTAAAATGTAAGTATCTTTATTATTTGTTGTCATTTAGAAATGAAGATGTTTGAATGTGTTACTGTTGGGGCAGAGCTTCTCTTTATCATGTTTCCAGATTGTAGAGGGAAGAATAAAAAGTAAGAAAATACACAGAAATACATTAAGGTTTTAGCCAGCTGAAATCTAGTGTGTTCTGGTATCTACTAGTTTAAACTGCCTACTCATAGCACACACTATTCACAAGCTTGCTTACCTGTGCAAACCACTGTGTTAACAGCAGGTCTAGGTTTCTACATCACACTGAACATGTGACAAAACCATTTAGATGCAGCTAATTTCCAAATAAATTTATTTACTGTGGCCAAAGCTACTTAGCCATGTTGTCTGGGCAGTTTCTCTTCACTTCCCAAATTCCTTTGGTTGTTTCCCTTTCTCTTTTCCCACAGTTGCTCTGCTTCTTTCCACACATATAAAAATATCATGGCTCCTCCAAGCAATGCCTCCTGCTACATCCTGATAAAAGAAACTGAAATCAGACAGAATATTTGATGGGTTTTTCATGCCCATTCTCTCTGTGACCAAGTTCTCAGAACTACAAAAAATGAGTCAGAAGAGTTGAGTCCAAGTTCTAGTTCTGCCCATTATTTTCTGCATCATCATATTCTCTCTCAGCTTCATCAGCTGAAAAACAGGGCTCATAATATTTCCTTACCTACAAAAGCTGTTAGGATTATTGCATTGTTATGAATTCCACAGATGAAAGGTACTAAGAAGAACAAGCTGTAACTATGATTTCAAACCTCTACCCTAGACCTGTCATCCTTACCTTACTGAATAATGCTTACTCAAACAAGGAAATTCTGCCACTATGGTAAAGAAAATCATGAGTGAAGATGACTCTCTTTTGCAATAAAAGCATTTATTCCCTTACGTTCAACACCCTTCTGTCTTCCACTGGGACAACTGGAGTTTCACTTAATTGCAGCCACTTAATATACACTCTTATGCAATACTCTATTTGAACATTATTGTTTCTTTATCCCAAACATGACTGTAAGAGAATAAACTCACTTTTCGTAATATATAATGACATCCACTCTGGTGATAGCAACTCCTGATAATAGGATTTGCCCCAAGTCTGCTGATAGATGAAGTCTCTTGGAGCCCATGGTGGCTGACAAAATGGTCAGTAAGGCCAGATTTTCCAGCCTTGAGGAGCTCACATCAGCCTTTCACATGCATGTGAGTATTCAGAGTGCTGAAGGATGTGTCTAAAAATGGAGGAGAGAATATATTGCTGATAAGGTATTCAAACCACTTCAGCAGCTTTCTCCGCTTGTAATCTTTGTGTGGTTTCCAGGTACAAATACTAACAAAGAGCTCCCCTGCTATAGGAAACTGCAGTTTTGGTGCTGAAACGAGCACTGAATGGTGAGCTAAAGAATCAGCAGCTTACGATTAGTGCCTGTAGCAACAGTGCTCCAGGTTAGTGCTCTCAGCAGTCCTTGACTATTAAATACTGGTAAGTGCAATTAATGAGGTACTGAGCTTGGTCAGTTCTCATAAAACTCAACAGTCCCACAGAGATAAGTGTCTCTGTTATGTTTCTGTCTACCCTTATTTTCAATTCACTCAAGACCTACCTGTGATGGAGGGAGCAGAGAAGCAAAAAGCCTCAGCATTGATAAGCCCTGAAAATTACTCTATTCTTGCATAAATAAGTTTTTCTCACCAAACCCTTTGCAGAAAGCTGCCTAGAAGGATGTACTTACATCTTCACATTGAGGCTTAAAAGCAGTGTAATATCAAGGAGTAAATACACTGCAGGTGTTGGTTAACAAGGTACTAATTGGGTGACTGGAGGTGCATCTTAAAAGACCACAGAGGTTAATCAAAAGGCTTTGGGTGCATTTAGGATGCTTCTTTGAGCTGAGGGAGGAGGCAGCAGTGGTGAAAAGTTCTTGGTGTAATCTTACATTTTATAGTAAAAGCTGAAAGTAAGGTATTAACAAATACACAGGGTGTTAGATCCTGAGTATGAGCCTAATATAGCAAGTCTGTTCAGAAGCTAATTTAATGATTGCAGCCAACTCTTCCTCAGTCTACACACTCTTATTTTGGCTTCTATCTGTGCTTGAATTATTCTAATGTCACTGTACTGGGGCTTCAGTTTGCAGACCTACAGGTAGGTGTGTGAGCGATGTGTATGTTCCAGCTTGAAAGCTGCTAACTCTGAAATCTCAGGGACATGAATTGGTCTTCCAGCTCAGTTTTATACAAAAGGAACAGAATTTGGGATGAAATTATCTTATAACCCCCCACGTGAGTTAAAGGAGTGTAAGATGTACTTAACAACTGTTCTCGGCTTGCTGTTTTATGATGTTCTCCATTGCCAAACATTAACTTCCCTATGTTTTGAGGAAAACAAACAAACGTTTCATCAATGGCTCTTATTTGTGCAGAGGACCACCCTCCCCAGTTGTTCCTGCTGCTTGTGCTTTTTTTCCTTGGCCCTTACAGGGGAATGAACTGTTAGGTCAGGGCTTGAACTGGTGATTGAGCACCTGGTGAAGGGCTGTGGCTGCCCATGGAGCACAAGCAAATTGTTTGCACCTGTGCTCCCCTCATGACCAGAAGGGGTGGACCCAGCTCCTCATATAAAGGCCAGGCACTGAAGGGAGAGCATCTCTTGGAGCTGGGCTGCTTCCTGAGGAGGAGTGCAGTGCAGCCAGAGAGCCCATTCACCACCTGGGTGAGTTCAGTTCTTCTTTCTGTGTGAATATTGGCCTGCCTGCAGATATTTTGCCTGCTTTTGCCATGAATCTGCCAGAAGAAACTTTGCTTCTTTGTCAGCAGAGCAGCCCTCCTGTTGGACCCCTAATCTTCAAGCAGCAGCAGTTTTCTTTTAGGTGTTTTTGGTGGTGTTGATGGTTTGGTACCTCTGCAAGTTATGGCAGTCACAAATTCATACAGGCGTGTATTGGAGCAGGACATCTTATTCAGAAGAACTGACCTGATATTTTTCAGAACTCAAATGCTTTGATGTGTGCTTATTCTTTTAGGTTTGCTTAGAAAATGGGTAATATAGGAGGATAATGACAAAAAGCGCCCTGTGTTCAAAATGTGATTCTTCCTTACATCCCTGATGTAAGGTGCCTGAGGTGCTCTCAGAGAGGGTGGAATGCTAGTGATTTCAGATGGGTTCTTTCACTCAGTCTGACTGCATGGAATGTATGGCAACCACGTGCAGGGCAGCTTTAGTGAAAACCAGCTTGCAGCAAGTTTGCCTGAAGAAGCTGCAGGAAGCAACTTCTGTACTGTTTGCGTGCGTGTGTTCCCACAGAGGCTGTGTGCTCTGGGTGCCAAGGGCACTCAAACAGCTTTCAGATACCTGATGAGTGGATCAGAAAGGCCAGCTTGGAAGTGGCCATGATGTGCAGTTTGGCTGTTCATGAAGATGCAGCTTCCAGTCCTATCTTAAAGAATAGTTATGTCCAGGAGAGGTGAGGTTGTGATGCATCTATACCTACTGAATTTGCACCAGCTTTACAGTTAAGTGCAAAAAAGAAAAGAAAAAGCACTTTTGGGGTTTGGTTAAAACATCTGCACAGCTTTGGTTTCATCCTGAGGCAACCACACGTCTGGTAAGCAGAATTTTCTAAAGCATCTGTCCTCTCGCCTGTGCAAAAATCAATCTTCAGATGATATCAGGCAGTCTGAGAAGTCCCAGCTCTGTTGGTCTCATTCTTTTGAAAGCTGATCTTCTGGAAATGAAGCCTTCCAGTGAAAGGGCCTCCACCGGATGGTTACAATAAACTGCTTTATTAATTGGCGTCACCTCACGGCTGGCTGTGTGGCAGCCTGCTGGATTATATGTCCACAGAGAAATCCCATCACTACTTTTTATGTTGGCACTCCAGTGTTTCCCCTGGATTCATTTACTTTCCAACACTTTCTGTGCTGCAGCAATTGAATCATATTTTGGGTTGCAGTGGTCTCTTCAAATTGCTTTTCTCTCCTAATTGCATTTGTTTGCTTTGCGGTACAGGCTGCTGGTCTTTGATTTTTTGGAGCGTTTGTTTTTACGTTTGATGCTCTTTATGGTGTGTGCTTGTGAAATTAGTGTTATTTTTATTGCACGCATAAGATTATGATCAACAAAACAGCACTGTGGGACGCATAAGCAGTTCGTGCTGCGTCAGGTTTGGGGTTTTCTTGTGTTTCTTTGTGTTCAAGCAACGTTTGGATGTTGTAGGAAGGCTTAGTGGGCGGTGATGTTGGAGGTCTTCCCCAGCCTCGCTTCTTCTCATTTGTTTGGCTGACTTACTACTCCAGCTCGCTCTGCCCGCGTTCTATTTTTACAGCAGCTCGTATTTGTTGTTGCGTAATAAAAGCGAGCGCGCGTTACCCAATGCAAACCACGCTTAAAGAAAAAAAAAAAAAAGAAAAAAAAAACAAAACCCCACGAGCAAAGCGCAGCGCTTCCCACCGAGCTCTCAGGGCTGGAGGTTCCCACCGACCGTGCGGGGACCGCGAGGAGGGCGGAGGGACGCGGCGCTGCCTGGCGTCGCCCCCCCCCGCTCCCCGGGGCGCTCCGCGGCGCGCAGCCCGGCCGTGCCCGCAGCAGCCGGGGAGCGGAGCGGGGCCGGAGCGCGGTGGGACGCGGCGGCTCCTGGGAGCTGTAGTCCGTGCCCCGCCGCCGCCTCCCGCCCGGCCCGGCCCGGCACTACGGGCCCCACACGGCCCCGCGGCCGGCGCATGAGCCGTCGGCCGCCTTAGCGCATCTATTCTGCTGCCTTGCCGAGGATAAAAAGAAGAGCAACTGGAGGGACTATAAGGCAAACGTTGCTGGAGCTGCCGGGGCAAAGTAATCTATTTAATCTTTCCCTTTATTTGTTAGATGCTCGGGGGTGCGTCGCTAGCATTGGGCCACGGCTTCGGGAGGGAGGGAAGGAGGGGGGCCGGGGAAGAAGGGAGGGGAGGCAAAACCCACTTGGGAAAGGCCGATGCTGATTTTCTTCTTCTTTTTTCCTCCCCTTCCCTCTTCTTCCGCTCCTTCGCGGTGCGGAGCCCCGCGCCGCTCCCCGCAGCCTTTGTGCGCCGCGACAAAGCAACAAAGCGCGGCCGGGCACAGCCTGCCCATTGATTTCCTCCCGGCCCCGCCGCTCCTGCCCACCCTTTTCTTCTTCTTCTGCCGCTTCTTCTCCTTCTCCTGCTCCCCCTGCCGCCTCGCCCAGCCCGAAGCCGCCCGGCCGGGTGCGCGCCCGTTCCCGGCCCCACCGAGCCCCGCGCAGGGGAAATTCTTTCTTTCTTTCTTTCCTTTCCCCCCTTTTTTTTTTCCCTCCTTCTTCCCCCTCTCTCGCTCGCTTTCCCTCTCTCGCTCTCTCTCTGCCCGCCATCTTTTGAAAGGGAGAAAAAAAAAAAAATTAAGAGCGAGGGAAAAGAAGGGACTGTAGGCGCTCTTAAAAAATAAGAAAGGGGAAGGAAAAAAAAAAAAGGAGGGGGGAAGCAGAGATGAGGAGAAAAGAGAGAAAGGGGGGGAAAGCACACGGCCGGGGAACGGGCGCTGGGGGTCGGGGCCGGCCGGGCGGAGCGGCTTTGGGGCTCAGCCCGCAGCTCCCGGCCGTTTCCCGGAGCCGCTCCGTGCGGGGTTCGGCCGGCGGCGATCCGCGGGACTCGGGCTGCGCTCAGGGAACGAGGGGTTGTTGGTTTATTGCTTCAACTTTGCGTGTTTCCTCGGTGTGCGCGGCGACGTGGCTCGCGGGTTGGAATAAAATGCAAAACTTCAAACCGGCCGTGCTTTTTCCTCTTTTTTTTTTTTTTTTTTGTGCTACTCGTTAGCTTTTGCACCTCTCTGGGCGCAACGCTGATAGAGCGTTGTTTGTAGGCTGCTTGGTTTCGCTTTCAGACAAAGCTGCAGTGTTCAGGTCGCGGATCTCCGAGCGTCTCTAAGCTGCGGGGCTGAGCCCTGCAGGGTCCCTCCGAGTGCCAACAGGCGCTGGGTGCGCTGGGACAGCTCTTCTCTCGGTGTCTGCAGAAAGCAGAAGTTGCTGAAATAGACGTTTTCTTCTTTTTTTTTTTGGATAAGCAAACAGATGGGCTTCACTAATACTTGTGATGTTTATAAATCGTGCGTGTAAGTTGCTCGACGTTGGTAAACAGTAGGTTGGGGGGTAATGCAAATAGCAGAGCACACCTGCTGTTGCTTGCTGGGAATAGAGAAGTGCGTTTCTGTAGGCTTGTTAGCACTCTGAATGCGTTCGGTGTGTGTGAGTGTGCTAAGGGGGTATCTCTAAACTGGGGAGTTGGGTTTAACACCAAAACCTTGTCCCCTGTTTGCTCAAGTGGAGGTATTAGGGAGGACCCTGACTGCTGTACGTGCTGCATAATGAGGAGTGTGGGGTGGACAAGAAATCCCCAATGCAGTCTGCACTACAAGCACCAGCCCACGATCCGTATTGCTCCCAGCAGCTCGGCTGTGCTGTGTGTGCAGTGCTGCCTGCTGCTGTTTTGTTAGCTGAAGTTTAGGGAGTTCTCCTTCTGAAACAGTGTAACTTCTGACCTCTCAGCTTTCCTTTTTCTGAAGGAAAAATGCTAAGCTTGTATTTTCTTTCCCTTTACTCCTTGCTGGTTAAAAATACACACTGTAGTGCTTCGAGACCACGCTTAGTAAAACGGTTGAATGGAGGTTAATGGTGTTATTCAACATTCAGCATCAGCTTGATTGCAATATTGTCTTCCAAACTCTATTTGCATAGCACTGGGTGCTCAAGCTATCCCAACTGAAGGATCGTTGCGGTGACCTATGCCTGCAGAGTTTAACTTAAGAATGCACCTACAAATAGAAAGCGTGTGAAATAGCTGAGGTTTGTTCTCCAAACTGACTTTGGTGTCTGAGCTGCATTAGTCCTAAATAAAAACTAAGCTCTGCTGCTGCTGGAAATAATTCTGACGCTTTAGCACTTTCAGCAAATGTTGGTTTGGTTGGAGTCTGCAAGTGCAATGCATTTCAGTGGGCTTCGTAACTGGAGTTTCCTTGGTTTGCTGTAATTACATCAGGAGCAATGACTTAAATCACAATTAATAATGTAGCCAAATACTGCCTTCCTGAGCTAGGAACTGCTTGTGATGTCACCCTTCAGCCCCCTTATGCCAGTGGGAGCAGTACTGAGGTGTCTGCAGCCCTGTTCCTGGCCTGCCTGCCCTGCACACAGGGAAGCACGCAGCCCCAGGAGCCCTGCTTCTTCCCCAGAGCAACCTGGGAGCTCACTGACAGCACAAACAACTCCAAGTCAAATCCCTCTCCCCAGCAGCAGCTGAGTGATGTAGTGGGGGCTCATGTTTCAAAGGCTTAATTACTTTGACAAAATATATTACTCTGTCGACTTTGGTAAGCTATCAGGTGATTTCAGTATAGGCAGAGCTGCACTTACCTAAACAAAGAGCATTTTGACTCTCAGCGTTGCTGTTTGTTTCTCTTTAATCCCAGTTGCTCTTTCTCTTGCTAATTTACAAAATTCATTAATCTGCGGTGAGTTTCCCAATCATTACCATGAACTGCATGTTTTGTTGTGTTGGTTTTGTTGGTTGTTCCTTTTTTTTTAAATTACCACATTATTCTCCAGTAATAGCCCAGAACACCACTGCAAGCAATAGAGTTCTGGGAATTAGGAAGGAGCCATTGTTTGCTGTGCTGCTCAGTGAGCTGTCAGGACATTTTGGAAGGATGTGTGCATCTCAAGCTTTTCATTCCACAGTGTCTTACTGTGATGTTGCTGGGTTTTCGTCAGTCATTAGTGCTCGTCAGAGATGAACAACTTTCTTTGGGGCACACTAACGCTGCATTGAAAGGGAGGAAGTACTCTTTAACCCACTTGCTGCTAGAGCCAACGTGAAAAGGAAAGGATTTAAATTCTTTTGGAGAACAGTATGGAAATTCGCTGTAATGTGCTGCTAAGGCTGCTTTTTCTCTTAGCTCTTGTTCCTTCCCCCAGTCTTGCTGATAAGGCACCAAGTGAAGAAACACTCGCTTTTTTTGGATTCCTTTCACACCTTGCTGGGCCTCATTCTCTTTCTTGCCTGAGTCTGATAAGAAGACACCATCCTGTCTGGATGTATTTCAGCAACACGGATAACCTGGGCAGAAAGGAAGGTTTGTGTATCTGAGCCCTTTGCTGGGACCTGGACTTGGCATTTTCCCCTCCACCAGCATTGCAACAGGTGGAACAGAGAAAAAGAGGTGAAAGTTCTATGAAATGAGAACCAACCTGGAACAGCATGAACTGACTGAAACGATTCCTGAGTCCTTTTATCTTCGAACTTTGAGATTTAAATTCAATCTTATGTGATGCAGGGCTGCTGTGGAAATAACCCTGTTTGCTCATCCTTCCTTCAAATCTTTTTTTTCCCATCTAAAGGAAGAAGAGGCAGAGACAGACACATCGCAGTTTTCCTTCCTAGCTTTGAGAGCTCGTTCTACTTCTGAAGTTTAAACTCACAGCACCTCACTGATGCAGCTGCACTGATAAGGTCTTGCACAGTGCTCCCTGACACAGTCACACCAGCAAGGATGCACTCAGTGTGACTGACTCGACCTGTTGTAACCAAACCCCAGCAGTGCTGGAACAAAAGCACGCTTTTCCTTGTGTAACTTTGTCTTTTTATGCTATCCTTGTATAACGCCATGGGAGGTGCCTGGAGGGAATCACACTTCCTCACAACTCTCCAATGTGACCATGCCAAGAGAAATCTGTTTTCTAGAACTGCACTGGCCAACAGATGTCTATAAGCAAGTGGGAAGCTTGCAGAATAGTGCTGGTTTGCTGATAGGGGACTTGGAATGCAGACATCTTCCTTAGCAGGGCTGGTTTGGGAGCTCTGCTGTACAGTGGGCAGTAGGAAACTGGTTTGCTGAAAATACATTTGTTCTGTGCAATAGACACAAGAGTTGTGTGTGGGTATAGGAGAGAAAGCTCTTTCTTAATAGAAAGCTTTGCCTTTTGGTGTTTACAGTTCTGCTTACGATCTGTGAAACGGCTGTAAAGTGCAGCTCTTCGTGTTGCTGTGTGAAAGAGGGTCTGCTCCCCCAGGCTTTTTGCTGGAGTGCTCGTCTGAATTGTATTAGAGGTGAGCAAGTGTGCCAAAAGCACAGCTCCATGAGTAGTCAGAGGAGAGAGCCGTGTTCATTTCCCCATTGAGCAGAGTGGGAGCACCCTCCTGCCTGGGGCTGGCAGGCGGGGGGGAGGGGGGCACCTTCCTGTTCCAAGTTAGCTGCATAGCTCCCTGCATAGGCAGGGATAATAGAATTCAGAACACATTTCCCCCCTTTTTTTTTTTTTTGCTGACTGCTTGGGAGTTTAAATGAGATGCATAAATGCAGGCAGTTGGAACTGCCTTATGTCCTTCTGAGGAGTGACAGCAGCTTAGCTAGCACAGTTGATGGCACCCGAGCTGACCTGCAACTTTCTTGCACAGTTGGGCAAACTTACGAATCTATCCAACCTTAGCAAAAGCAGTGAGGCACCTTTCATATGAAATAGACCACCTCTACTCTTTTGCACTTGTTTGCACGTGTTTACTTTGAGTTAATACTGCGTTATCCTGGGACAGTGAGTTTGTTAGGACGAGGTGCTTAAATTGGTATGGGAACAGATAAAGCTAAGTCGGTGCAACCTGTCTAAGGGAATGTTGGTAGGGGATGAATGGTGGTCATAAATAGGAGGGCTGCAGCAGTGTGATGTGTTACTGCTCATCTGTCAACCTGCAGTAATTAACTTGGTGGGTGGGTGTACTTGCTCTGCCCCATTACCAAGCGTAACATTACTGTGGCTCAGCTAACAAGTAGTAATTTTATGTCACAGTAATTCC